ACAAAATGAGCGGTTTACAGTTTTGTAACCATTATAGAGGTCAACATATGAAATTTCACACCATTGTGATCAATATTACCAAGATTAGGTGAGAAACAGCATTTGAAAATAAATCAGGTCTGTTGGTAAATATAGCACATCTATCACAGAACCTGGGTTGTCAGGTATACTACTGTCACGACTGGTAAATGTCCAAATTAAGAATATCAGAAACAGTAAGGACAGACGCTGAACTTAGTAGATACCAACTAGAATGTCACCCTAATGCAGCTGGGGCTAAAAGGTAGGTCTACATATACATATATAGTGTAGTGTTGTGACGAGTCACTAAATTTGGTGACCTGAGTCGAGTCGTTATGCCAAGAAGTCGATTCGAGTCGAGTCACTTTGTGTAGTTGAGTCGAGTCAAGTACCAAGCTCAAGTCAATTTGAGTTACACATTTTTGAGCAAAATACAGTAAAAGCACAACTACGTGTCAGTCTTTTTTTGCATTTTGTTTCCATTTAGACATACTGAAAATAAATTAGGGTGACAGGTATCTAACCAATTCAAATTTTGATTTTAATTTTTTTGAGACTCGAGTTTTATATTGAAGCTTGTACTCTAGTCAAATCTCCAAGAGAGATTCGAGTCGAGTCATTTGGTCGCAGAGACTAGAGTCGACTCGGGTCATTTCCCTATCGAGACTCGATTCGAATCGCCAAAAAATTGTGACTCGAGTTGAGTCACTGATTGATTCGAGCCATTACAACTCTGACAGAGGGTGTGGTATCGGTTATGAACCAGTTTGATGAAACAGACAAGAATTGGGAAACGGTAGTCAAAGAATAAGATGGTTGCAATTGGTCGCATCGCGAAACGGCAAGGTAGATGAGATTTGTTATGTCCAGTGCTAGGTGAGAAATGTTTTGCAGGAACATCAGCCGTATCTGTATGTCATGTGTGTGAGTGCATAGCAAGCAGCATAATGATGATTGCAATCTATAACTGACATCGTTGTGTCGAAAATATGTGCCCTATAAATTGCAAACATTAGTGCAATGCATGTGCAACGTGTCTCCGAATTTCGATCTCTGTTGGTACATGACATTGTACTTTCGAACCTCCCTATTCACCCCAATCTGGTGCTTCATGGGCTCATACCCTGCCTCCTTCAGAAGAATACGAGGCAGGTTAAGAGAATGCTTACCAAGGTGAATGCGCTCACCTTCCGCTCCATCTTCTTCATTGCAGGGAATGTTAAGCAAGGGCTAAATATGTTCATTCAATTGGAATGCACGTACAGGAAATTGAAAAGCTCAATAAAAAGCTACTTGTTAGATGCTAGATGCCAAACCCAAGAAAACAGCATGATGGAAAACTTTCGATGGTGCAAATCAAAGTAACATCTTTCCTATCCAACGGTGCCCTCACCAAATAACTTTCAACCAACTTCATCGTAACATGAAAATATTGACTTATGGGGAAATTCTTGCAAAAGTGGAGTTTGGCCAATGCTGCTATACATTACTAATTATTGTTGATAATTCATTATTCTGAGCTACCTCTCATTAAGGTGGTATCTGGAATCCTCATGAACCACGCTGGACCAGAGAATACCGAAGAGCTCCCAGTTTGTATATTATCAAGAGAGATTGGCAAATCAGGCACTGATATTGCTTTAAAGCATGACACGTGCGACCAACACAATTAAACCAATATGGCTTCGTAAAACTTTATGTGAAAGAACGGACTGAGATACTCATCATTTCGATTGAACTGGAAACCTTCAGGTGAGCAAAATATTCCGAAGATTTCAAGAAGTATATAACAAAACAATTATTCACTGCTGTAATACGGGTGTGATGCTTTTTTTTAACGCTCTCGGGGTCACAGAACGTGTACTACATCTCACAGCACAGGAGTCAATAATTGTGAAATAAATATACTTCCCATTAATTGCATTTCCATTGTTGGTAAAACCTCTGTTTGTTCATAAATTACAAATAAACAATTACGCACCAGGCGAATAAAGGAAATGAGCCTCGTCTAAACAATACTTTTGGGACTGTGGCTGCAGCGAACATGACAGTAATACGGCAACACACACATTCATGCACCCCAAGTGTGTATTTGCCTACGATTGGGTGCCCCCAATCCTCTTGTTAATCTTAACTTTCGAATTATGTATAGTAACATTTGACATTCCCAGCGCTCTATTTCCAAAGGTATTTGGACAGTATATTGATTTAAAGTGGTTTAGTAGCCCCTTACGTGCGATGAAACAGTAAAAAAAAAACGCCACAACTGTTTTGGCATCATCTCCTGTTGCACATCACTGAATATTAATCATCCTTGCCGAGGCGGCATTGTACCTCGGGGGATGAGGGAGGTGTACCGGAAAGGTGCTTCGCCAAAGCTTGAGAAACAGTGTAAAAACTAGACTGACTTAAGCGTGTGATTCAATTTTACACCCGTTGGCTGACCAGGTGTTGGAATTAGTCTGTTATCAGTTGGTTCAGGATGGGGTAACCTTAAGTCGTTTCACAGAATGTAATGATCATGCTGCTAGATTTGTAGTACAGGAACCTAACGTTTCGCCGTGTCAGCGCAAAAACGTCGTAACTGCATATTTTGAGATTTTTTAAAATTTTTATTTTGCGTAACATTGAGAACTATCGGCCAATGTCCATCTTGCCACTTGTCTCAAAGATTTTGGAAAGAATAGTTCACTGTGCGTTGTATACATACTGCCATGAACACTTCTTGATTTCCGCCTGCCAATCTGGTTTCAGACCATTGAATTCGACGGAGACGACTTTGCATGGGATAAATAATGATTGTATTTATTGTCCTTAGTGAGGCTTTTGATTCGGCTTGCCATGCCATCCTCTTGAATTTGCCTGAGTCCATTGTAAATTTGTTTGCGTCTTACTTAACTAATCGCAAAAAATCAGTGCGCATTGATAGGGCCAAATCGGATCCTCTTCCACGCAATACTGGTGTTCCACAATTGTTGGACCTATTCTACTTAGATACTCTCTACTCGATATCTGTTGGGGTGTACCCTTTAGTGAGTAATTATATATAAAATACATCTTGAAAATCCTTTAGTGAGTAGTTTCTCCAAAAATGATTCGACGTTATGCTTGAAATACTCCTCGTTGGTTGTGTTCCTGGCATATCGGAGGGTTTTCGCTATGTGAAAGCCTGGAAGGTGTGAGGTGGGTGGGAGGAAGTTTTGTGGAGATATTGCAATGTTTTCGTTCGTTTCGTGTTTCTACACTTTTGTGTCTAGGATGCCTGTTTCTCGGAAGCGTTTTCCTTTGAAAATAGTTAGGTCGAGGTATATAGTACAAAGTTGTTTCTGAGGAATAATCTTTCTGTAACATGTTAAGAGATTTTAGCACCATACTTTTATTGTCTATAAGTTTCTTATTTAGTTTTTGTGTTACTGTGTATTGTTTCTCTGGTTTGTCTTTTGTAAGTCCTTTTGATATGGTCTTACGTTTCGATCTCGTTCATTTTAAGTTTCTAACTTGTGTTTCTTGCTTGCATGTTTTCATAAAACATGCAAGCAAGTTATAATATTTTTAAAGGAATTTTTCTGCAGAAAATACAAAAAATAATGAGCAAAATATCAGTTGCCACTGATTCAGATGATACTTCAAATTTTTAACAACATGTTTTAGTCAGATTAGGGTAATCATTTGTGGCTTTAGGAGATTTATCTCCTACATGCTTATTAAGTAATCGGCGATCACGGTGTATCTATGCAAAAAGTCGTATCTCAACGAGTTATATTTTGACCAGAATATTTGTAGGGCATCGTCTAAGCAAAAACGTCGTATGTTGGTCATGTTTCTTTCAAAGATCACTTCAAAAATAAATGATATAAATTAAATCAAGATACCCATTATTTCATTCAGCACAAACATTACTGTGAGGCAGGAACCTACTTATACGTTTTTCTCAAAACTACACCCTTAAAAAAATGTCTGTTAAAAAAGTAGATTCTACTGTCAACTGGCATTACAGAAATTGTTGTTTTGTGACAGCATATTCTACTGTCAATTACTAACGGACGATTCTTATGTTATATTTAGGACATGGAGGAAAAAATCTAATTCGTACCTATGAATTACTATTTCGCACGTACGGATTACTACTTTGTACGTATGTTTTGCAAATAATGACCCTAGGCACTGGTCGTATTCAAAATTCCGTCTTGAGCAGGAACATCCTCTCATCGGTTGAAAAGAGCAGAAGCATATCCCTTCAGGTGTTGAAAAGAGTATACTGGTAGGGAGTGTTGTTCTATTGGTAGGGCCGCGATGCGCACACAACGCATATAGCTCATTGTCATTGATTTCGGGAACCAGCAAAAAGGAGTTCCTACCAAAGGAGCCTCCATTGCTAGGAAATCGCACCCTCTCTTGGTCCCTCTCGCGTCCAATGAACTGAAGTTCATACAGTGCAACATGTGGATTGCTAATCCGTAAATTTGGCTTAGCAATTTGTATGTACGAATTATTTTTTTTTCCTTACCATGTCCTAAACGCACTTCAATACGAATCTCCTGTGAGTGAACAGAGAAAATTGACAGTGGAATGTGCTGTCTCAACACAGCAACTTCTGTAATACCGAATGATAATTTGGCCAAGGCAGCACCGGGTTGGTTCATTCATGCGAGTGTGGCGCAAGTTTGGAAGTCATGAATTATTTGAGGCGTAAATGGACAAAGATTAAGTGGTTTTATAAGCACTGATGTCTTTTTAAGAGGGTAAACGCAAATACAGCAGAATTGTAATAACATCATTTCTTGTCAACAAAGGCCAAGAAAACCTATTGAAAATTCACGCATGCGCTTTTATTATCAGAGGTAGATCAATGCATAATGAAACTGCCCCTTGCTTGCTATTGTTGAATGTGCCAGTCAAGCTTCGCTTGTTAAGTTTCTATAAAGCCACAGGAGATCAAAGCGGCAGCGAACTCATCATCGAGCGACGGTCATTACACAGGGAACAGCTCACTCTCCCTCTTCTAGGTAGAAACACAGCAGACTATTTCCCAAAATGGAAAGATTTCTGTGGCCTCTAGTAATCTTTCACATCATCGTGGGCATCGTTGGTTTGCCCGGTAACACTCTCATCATTTTAGTGTGTAGCAGGAAACGACAGATCATGAGTCCGCACGTCTTTATTCTCGCTTTGGCTGTAGCGGACCTGATCGTCTGCCTCTTCACTCCCGTCACTGTATACCACTGGTACAACAGGCTCAACTACACCAGTGATTTCTTGTGCCGTCTTGTTGTCAGTGTGACTTTTGTCACAGTGTACAACTCTTGTTTCTTAACATCTGCCATCGCGGTAGACCGGTATCAGGCCATTTGCCGACCCCATCGGCGCTGGATGACCGTCCGGCGTGCCAAAATTGCAGCAGTAGTCTGTTCGGTTTTGGCGGTGCTCATCAGTGTTCCAGTATTTGCATCGTACGACATCAGTCCGTATGGCCAAGTCGCCGAGTCAGGAGAGTGTGCCATCAGCAAAAACGTACCAACCTGGCTGATACATTTAATGACCACGATAATTTACACTGCATCTTTATGCACCCTTGTCGTCAATATCGTTCTCTACGGAATGACGTACCGTGCTATCCGTAAACAAGTCACTGTGCGGCCTGGTCAAGACAGTGCTAATGGGTCAACGACTAGCCACACCTTAAGACGTACCCGCTTTGTTCCCACAGTTTCAGGGTTATCTTCACAATCTCATCAGGCGGAACTTAACGTTAATACATGCGACCAGGTTTTGAGCACTTCCGGGCAAAACCTGGCAGTATCTTCACAAGATCATGGTCGACGACAAAAACATCCAGAACGACACATTCATAATTTGCAGCCACAGCAACAGCAGAAGACAGAAAAGAGTGCCAAATTCATTCACAAGAACTCCCCCAAAAAGTCAGCGAACTGGCTTTCCAGTAAAACAACAAGCATCAGCAACTTAAATGGAAATCAACGACAGCAGCGCAGATTTCGCAGCAAGACCACCAAAATGCTGGTTATCACCACTGCCGTATTCTTTGCCACGTGGCTGGTGGCACTTGTCATTGTGTCCCTACCACAGCACATTCATAAATACATCTACGAAAGCAACCAGGTTGGTTACTCGTTCTTATATCTGTTTAAATATGGTTTCTACTTGAATAATGCCGTCAACCCATTTATTTACGGCTTTGTGAATAAACAATTCCGCGTGGATATGAGGAAGACGCTGTCTGCCCTCAGGTGCTGCTGGCATAACAGTAATCGGGCCACACACAGAAACTTGTTAAATTGATATTCATGAAGAGCAAAAACTAAATGCTCTTTCAAAAGATTTGGTTTTAATTCTAAAGTGAAGCTTATAATTCTAGACTGATGCACTGTCGAATAAAAATTGGACTGTTCATGCCCATGCGAGGCATTTTTCTTAGACACTCCGTTTGTTTACTTTTATTCTCCTTTTTCACTGTATAAAAAACGATGACATACTCTTTGGGTTAAGCGTACCTTTCTACACGTTTAAAATTGCTCACACGTTTCCAAACAACTTAAGGGCTCCATTGGTGATCAGGGGAGATACAGGTCTGCTCCAATTGCGAACCCAACACTAGTTCTTGGAAAGCATTTTAAAAAAAGGGGCTTAAAAAGGTTGCTCTTCCGTTTATTATCATGCATGGTTTAAATCACCAAAGAATAGTTAATTTAGTATAGTACATTATAAAATAATCAGTGTAACGTTGATGGACGACATCACAGTTTTTCTGATAATTATGGAAATTAGCATGACACTACAAGGAAAAACCCAATATAAGTTTAATTTAAGCACAATTGCACTTTCCAGGGTTGTAGTTATCACATTCCAAGGGCCGTTTAAATATTTACAATGACTTGAATTTAGCTTAAATGTTGGAAGAATTTTCTCTTCGTAACATAAAATAAAAATGAAAAGATCTTTTTACACAACATTAACTAAAGTATTTAGGGAACATATAACCAACACATCTGAGGCTTGTGGCGTGGGCTTATTTTAACATGTGGGAGTGGTGTACTTTTTACGTACAGTTTCTATTTGTGAGATGATAACCTGAAAAGAAACCATGCACTTTGTGCATGGAAACGTACGTTACGTCTAAATATTTAACTATGCCAAACATTTCAGCACCGGTGATATTTAACAAATTTTAACAAGTAAAGTTAAATTGAATTTAACAAATATTGCAAATACCGTAAATAAAATAGGTTTCAAATAATGTTCTTCATACTCGGCAAGGTACATTGTAAACATTATTGACATCCTCCTGAATATTTACAGTAGGATCGTAGAACTTTGTTTTTGTTAAAATACGGTCGTCATCTAGAAAGCTTAGAAACATGTGGCAAAGAATGTTTCATTCCTCATGTTCCCCCATACTGCTGACCACGACTGGCTCTCACTCCCTCGAAATATCTCGAATTGAGACAAAAGTTGACAAATTTATCTGTTAAAAAATATGAAATCAGCTTGATTCCTCTTACCAGATGCAGTTGGGCAAGGGTGAGGTGTTGTGGCAAAGTAAGTTGCCTGAGATTTTGCAAAACTTCATGAGGTAAGACAAACACTAAGGATATGAAATTGCAACAATTGTTTCTTTAGATAGGGCAGTTGTTCGAATAATGTAACATTTGAAGTATAGCATTCATTCCTTGTAAATTGGGAGTACGATGTTCATGCGTTGAGATCTAGCAGGTGTTGAATTGGGCTAAAATATATATTTATATGTAAAAAGGTAGCTGAAATTTACTTACACTGTTTTTTGCGTACGGTTGTGGCGTAACAACATTTAATATTTTGGTTGGGGGATTTGGAGTAAATATTTTAATTGTAAGTGGCATCGAAAGTCGATGAACAGCGACTTGTAAATAAGGTATGTATATTTAATATTCCCACATGGGTGGAAGGAGGTATGCTCTAAACGTTGAATTCCCTAATCCCCATCAATAGATATTTCATTTGTCAATACTGAGTGAAATTATTTATGATAATATGACGTGCTCTCTACTTGTCATTATCATGTTTAGGGTTTGCAAAACATTTATTCAAGGTTTTTACTTAATTATCAAAGTACAACAGTTGGTCTTACGAGAATACATAGTGAGAGGACGCATGAATCTACATTTGTGTAAAGAACTTTACGTAAAAGAAGTTCAACAATGTTAAGTATAGGGTGAAGCAGAGTAGCTTTTATTCACCAATCTTTGGACCGACAAGCGAATAGGAAGGACCAAAAAATAATGCCAAAAACTTGCACAACTAGCTGGAATGACATCCTGTAAAGCTTCAATATAAGAATTGGATAAATAATAAAGAACGAACTAGAAAAATGACAAACAAGCAGGAGTATGTGTGTTGTTACGCTATTGTTGCTTGTGCATGTAAACAGTATAAAAAATTAGGAATAAGAAGTTGTGTTTTTAGTTTTGTAATTATTATCGGTAGAGTTAAGAAATCTTAAGGGAGATACCCTTTGCCATGAACTTGTATTACATGGAGCTGTTCCATTTTTGAACACTGACTGTCATTCTGCTGGGGCTGACATGAAGGGTTTTGGTCGAGATATTTCTGGTTTCATGTTATTGAATATTTGAAGTTAAAGTAAAACATTTGAAGTTAAAGAATAAACTTAATAAACTGTTCACGTAGTTTGCATATGAATAAATACATATCACTAACGTGTAATATATTAAAATTCGCTTTAATGGTGTGGTATAATATCAACAACCAGCGCAGGAAATTATTTGAACGCTCAGTTCTTTTTAAGTATGGAATGACAAGTGGAGTATAAAAAGGTAGTGTGATATTTTTGGGGTTAGGCCTACTTAGAAAAACTTCAGACGACTAATCATGCCAATAGTTCTTGAAAGCTTGCTGGCGAAGTCATCAGCGTCCTTCAGGTTTAGATTGTCATCGTTGTTGATGTTTAGGACTTCAGTGCTGGTTAATTTCTTTGAGGCTGATGCCGTGTGAACAGAACTGTATGAATGTGAATACAATAATGCGTAATTTGATTCAAGATCATTAATGCACACTTTTTGCTTACAACTTAGTACTTAAGTTTAAGAGTTCATTGTTGAGAACATTAACAGCTGTATTCATATTATTATGACTACTGTACGTTAGACTTGTGTCATCTGCAACTAAAGAAAACGATATGATGTCATGTGTATGTACAGATGCCGTTAGTGAAAAAGAACAAATGAACAGGACCCATAAGGTAAAGCTTAACTCCGAAAGAACTGATTGCTCTTCATATATTATTGAAATTAATAAAACAAATTGTTCTCTGTTGGACAAATAGTGTTTAAATCAGTGTAACACTATTCCTTGTAAACCATAATAATGGTAAAGAGCAAAATATAATTGTTAATAGTATTGCCGCCTTTGAAAGGCCAGACTACATTCCAAAGGATTATGCTCTATCGTCTATTGTCTTTAAAAAATAATAATTATGCTCTATCGTCTATTGTCTTTACAAAATAATAATTAATTAAAAGATCACTCTTTGAGAAGACAGCTGATACTATCAGTTATCGGAAACATCAACAAATATTACTTATAATGTCGAACTAGGGAGATCGAGATTTCACAAAAATCGAGTCTGTCGTTGAGCGCCGAAATGTGTTGAGAATCCAGATATTTTGGGCATTCGTATCATACATTTTCCATCTCTTACGGCTTTAAGTCATCGCGCCTGCCGTTTTTTTTGGTGGCCAAGTCTTGGGATCCCCCCATTCTTGTCAGCACGTGCAATACTACGATCATTTACAATTACAGCTTCTTGCTTGCAATATACGAACAGCCTGCAAGCTGCTCTAGTAGCCCCCCCCCACGCGAAATGTTTCATTTAGCTGAGGAATTCACCTGGCACACGCAAAGAACACAATGAAATCATTATAGCATTATCCACTCAAGTTGTGTATGTACGTACTTCTTCTGTGAAGAGCAGCTAGAGGCGGATCCAGCATTAACAGAAAAGAGCAGGGGGTCAAAATGGAGGTGAGCCAGAAAATATGAGCACATAACCATATATACGTATACAAAATATCGCAAATGCTACTCAGCATAAGTTGGCAGATTTACCTTTTTTGCGATCTTTCAGTTTCATCGAAAGATTGCAAGTGATTACAGGCGACCTTCAATCAAATTCTTTTTACACCATAAGCAGCAGGCCAGCCTTTATCAGACGCAGTTTTCGATCAAATGACCATTAATGACCGCTTTGTGACCTTTGATTCCGGTTACAGTTTATCACGTTACATTTTGGTTAAATTGTTCATATGGTCACATTTAGTGGTTGAAATTGGGTGAAGCGTTTGGCGCTTATGGCAGTTTAAAGGTTTGCGAGAAAAAAGAGCACGTTTTTTGCGCTTCACGAAGCACAAATATTAGCTGGTGGCCAGTAAATAGACTGTAATCGCTGAACATCTGGTGAACATTTGCCCTTTTCTACAAGTATATAGTTAATATTCAATGGTCTAAACCGATATTCAACCCAAAAACGTCCCTCCAGTCGGTCCATAGCACTTGAGAAATAACCAAGTAGGGTCGTTTGTCTGGGAATTAGGACTGCTCCTGAACACCGGTGGCCTGATGACCCTTGACCTTAATGTGCACAGACATCAGCCAGTGCTCATAACTATAGGACTCAACTGACCAAAAAATTTAATTCGCCCTAAAACGCCAAGTAAATGAAATATTTTTCAGTATCTGTTTTGCATGGGAATGACATTATACTGATCACTATAGTTGACACGAAACATGCAAATCTCCCGAGTTCGACTGAAATCGATGGAAAATATTAGAAACTAACAGCAATTTAGCCAGTTTCCTCCAAAGGAACCACATGCTGACCATAAGATAATCTTTGCCCCAAATCTGAAAGCAGCGCACATGAATCTTTCAACTTCTCATAACTGACCAAAGGTGGCCCAGTGAAATTAATAAAAAGTGTGGACACAAAGTGGTTTCAAGAAAATTATCACTACTTATTATTCATTGACTTTTAGGCCGAATTTGCTATGACCTTATATAGGTCTGAGGACAATGAAGCATTTAACCAACTCTGGCTTAAAATCGGCTAAGGAATGCGGCAGATGTTGTATTTTTACAAATAACAGTAGTAACCCCGCAGCGAGCGTTGGCCTAATTCTGTTTACATACTATTTGAGGTATTAAGTTGAACCAGGGACGCAACTAAATTTGGCCTCTGTCAGATGAAGACTATGGGAGACCCCAGCTGAGTGTGCCGCAGATCAAGT